GGTGGAGGCTGGAGTGAGCTGAGATCATGCCTCTGTACTCCAGCCTGGGCGAGAGTGAGACTTCATCTCAAAAAAACAAAAACATAATAGATATAATACTCATTATTCACTCGCCAAGTATTTATTGAAGGATACTTCCCACGTGCCACCAAACATTTGGCTAGCGATACAACAAACACGTAGTATTTGATGCAGTCCCTGCCCTTGATGAACTTAGTATCTTCCTATTTCACAGGGCTATGTGAAGATCAGATGTAAAAACACTACAAACTATAACACGCTATGCACACTGCAAAGTGGTATAATGATTATCACTATTAATATTAACTTGCTCTACCTCTTAACATCCATCTTTATTTCAAAACCTTAGCAAGAATTTAGGCTGGAATTTGAGAGCCTAACAATCCACTATTTGCTGGTATAGTCTTAGCTCATTACTCTCAATATAAAAATGAAAATAAAACGAACTGAGAATCCAAAGCCTACAACCTACTACGTCACCCTGGGCATGTAACTGGGCATGTGGGTTGCATTACCCACATGGGGCAAAGGAGTAAAAAAGATTTCTAGGCCCTATGAAAGATCTACTGAATCATAACCCTTAGAAGGTGAGCCTAAGAATCTGTACTTTTGATAAGCATACCCAAGTGCTTCTTATGTACCTTAAAGCCTGAGAACCACTGACATAAAAATTTCCTTTGATCAATAACCATGATTTCATTATTTCAAACATTACCAAAATCTACCTAGAAAATATCAGCGAAATAGAATTCAGTTACAATTGCGAAAGCAGCTCTTGAGACGGTACCTCGTCTATGATACATGACTCACGCTTAACTCATAAAAATACTTATGGCACCAGCCTCTTTACAACTCTCACACAAAATGAAGTAAAAAAACTGATTCTCAAAAAACAAATTGATATATACAGTTTTAATTTATCTTATGACTTTAATAAGGGAAAGCTGATGGGTCTATTACCTAGTAGCTATCAAAGAGGAAACCATATACACTGACTGGCATAAATATATCATGATTTTGAATGCTTGCAAGCCCATCTTAGTGGTCCGTGCTCAAACTAATCCCTCAAAAATACGGACAGTTTCATATCCATTTCCACCGCACACTGAAACCTTTCAGCAGCATCGCTCAAGAAATCAATCAAGAGTCCTTGGAACTACTTTAACCTAAAGAAAATTAACCTGAAGTCAAATGTTACTTCACATACTATATAATTAGTGCAAAGACATATTTATTTTGGTTCTGTTTGTTGAAAGCATTCTTTACTCATTAGCCTCCAGGTACATACACATCAAAGGGAAGACACTCAGCATATGTTACACTGGGAAAATTACAAGGTGGAAACTAACATTGCTAGTCAAAAAAACTTTCCATCTGCAGTAAAATTTAGAGCCCAGAGGGTTTGTTCATACTGCAGTACCAAGCCCTGCAACATGACTCCCAAACCAGTTAGAATCTACACAGTTTTGAAAGGAGAAAGGGCAAACCGAACCATACGTGCTCCAATTTAGTTTCAGGACTAAAGAGTAGAACAGGGTCTTAGTAAGCCGACTTTAAAAGAAACACAAAGCAGCTGATGCTCTTACTTGTGTCCAAGTTTGTATGCCCTTAAATCTCAAAGTTACTCTGTTCTTTCACATCTCTATCAATTGTCCAAACAACTGAAAAATACAAAAATTGTTGTAAAAACAATATGCAAACACAATAGAAGAATCTAAAATGGGGAAAACTCTTAAATAGCAATTATCAAGGTCCAAACATTCACCCACGTCTTGATACAAACTACAACCACACAATGATAATCCACCTATCCCTAATTCTGACCCCACCTGGCTCTTAATCAACATGCAAAGTTTTCCTGGGACAACACACATGAACTTTAAGAACTTGGATGACAGACAAAAGCTCTAAGGAGTATTGCCTAAAAAATGCTTCAGGAAAATCAGCATCAACATAACCAAGATCGAGACAAGGGGCAAGTATCCCAGGAGAACCACATCTATTTGGTTGCGCATTTCCCCTCTCACTTGAAACCCTAAAGAGAAGGTACAGACTACGAAAGAAAGAAAGAAAATACAAAGACACTGAATAGTTGAGGTCTCACAGAGTTTACCACCAGCTTAGCTTTGGGTTGCAATTATCACTCCCCTATAGTACCAAATAAGGTTCAGAGAATTTGGAAATCAAAATACATACAGTTGGAAGGGTGAGAAACCAATGCCAGGAAGATTTCTGATCATCACAACCTTCCAAAGATGTCTTCCGGGCAGAGTAACCTTTTCCCCTGCCCTCTAAAAGAGATGAACTTCTCTACTTGCCACCAAGGATGTGCCAAAAGTAACGTTCTTTTCTCTAGAAGGCAAAGATTGCCCAGCTTCCTACTGTGGAACCTAAGACTAGGGCAAGTCCTTCTACCTTCCCTAGGGGATCATCTAAGGTCTCCTTTACAGTTTACATCTGGGCTCTTCTGCAGAAGCCACAATAAAGGCAAGAAGCCACTAACTATGTATGCTGGGATGTGTGTGTATGGCTGCAAAGATAGATCACATTAACTATAGTCTCCTACAGAATTATTCATTTCGGTTTAGTTCCTTTAGATCCTGTGAAGAGTAAACAATTTAGAAATTTATCATAAATTTATAATTGTAAATGCTTTAGTTTTAAATTTAAAAACAAGAAGCTGAGTCCAAAGTTAACTTCCAGAGGGAAAGGAAAATGTCAATTCCAAGACCACCTATTGGAAGAAACATCAACCACAAATTTTGAGTTATCTAGAAAGAAAATAATTAGGTGCCCAAGTATAAGAAATCTGAAAATCATTGTTGTAATCCCAGCACTTTGGGAGGCCCACGCGGGCAGATCATCTGAGGTCAGGAGTTCGAGACCAGCCTGGCCAACACGGTGAAACCCAGTCTCTACTAAAAATACAAAATTAGCCGGGCATGGTGGCACATGCCTGTAATGCCAGCTACTCAGGAGGCTGAAGCGGGAGAATAGCTTGAACCCAGGAGGCGGAGGTTGCAGTGAGTCGAGATTACACCATTGCATTCCAGCCTGGCGACAAGAGCAAAACTCTGTCTCAAAAAAAAAAAAAAAAAGAATATATTGTCAGAGAATACTAGGAAACAGCATGTGGGATGTTAATGAAATAAGAAAGCATATATTTACAGAAAGGACAGAAGAAAGGTATACTATCTCCAAACACTTAGGCAAACAGTTGCCTAAGTAAGCAACTATTTCTTCTTCTTTTTTTTTTTTTAATCTGCTTTCCCAGGTTAATACCAACTATTTCTTGAGGTGGAAGAGATGAGGAAACAGAATGAGTGGATACCACAGAGTAAGAATGTCAAGAATAACTGCAGGGAGCACAAGATGAGTAAGAAAAAAAGGACTTCTTCATAAGGCAGATTTTCAAGAGACTATCCCATTTGCAAACCTACTGTTTTACAAGAGGCAACTAAAAGGTTGTGGAAATTACAATTAAAATAAAATTTGTAGAAACAGAAAGATTTCACGTGGGCAAATCAAAACATGGAGGAAGAGAGTAAAAGTGTAAAAAAGGAATGCCAAATGTAGATTCAGTAAGGAGGAGAAACGCAGCACGGAAGACTGCTGAGGAGAACGGAGACGATGGGAGCACACACCACCTGCAAGTCAACCTGCAATCACTAACTGAATTTCAATGCAAAGCACAAAAACGCAAATGTAACATCTAGATTAGGGTAGTGGAGGAGGTGTGTACAGAGACTGTAAGACAAGGCAGCATCCTGCCAGAGACAGGAGGGATGTGGTGGGGAAGGAGTATGAAGGGGGAGGGGCTGCAGCAGGGGAGAGAGGGTGGGCTGCAGCAGCAGAAGGCGCCTTAAAAAAAGCAGAAGAAAGGAGAAGTAGCCTAGGGGAGAGAAAGGCTAGGACAAAGTCAAGTGTGGGATCACAGGAGGATAGAGTAGAAGACGCAGCAGAGAGAGGCAAGCCCTAAGAAAGCAGAGCGGCCAAAGACTCAAAAGGGCTTGCAGTTTGGGAGGAGGAGGAGTTAGGGGGGCTCTACCAGAAACCTGACTAGAAGGAGGCGTGAGGATAGAGCAGGAGTGAAGGGGGGGACAGGGCAGGGATGCTGGGGGGGGGGGGGGGGGTGCCAGGGCAGGGATGCTATCAGAGGGCTGCGCTGATGGAGACACTAGATTCCAAATTAGGGTGTGATACAGTGCCAACCGAGAAGAGAAACTACAGTGTCAAATTCCACGCCCCCCTCCCCAAAGGCATGCAAGGGTCAGAAAACAAGGTAAACTCTTGGAGTAGGAATGCAAAAAGGAGAGGAGGAAAGGGGCACACGGTGGGATGGAAAAATTTAGGGGAGGCTTAACCACAAGGAGAGGATAACTAAGGAAAGAAAAAGCAGTGGAGCAGGGAGGGAAGGTGTTTCCGGAGGAAAAGTAGGAGCAGAACAGGGGTCCTGCCTTCTTGGTCTGGAGGGCAGAAGGCGCAGTTCATGGGGGGTGGGGGGAGGCGGGGGCTGGGAAGTGGTGGAGAACGAGAAACTGCGATGCTGAATATGAGAACCTGGAGAGGACAAGGTACTGGCTGGGTCAAAAAACGGAACGCCGTCAGTAAGAAACAGATGAGGTTCCTTCTGAGCAAGGCGAGGAGGAGTGAGGCGCAGAATGCAGCACGCCAAATGGGAAAGCAAAGGGGCGGAGAAGAGCCCAGAGTAATCGGGGCAAAGGGAAGAGCACTGGGGGCGCAAGGGCACCCGCTGGAGACGATGGGGTGGGAGACAGGCGTCGCGGAAGCCCCGGGGCCGGTGGGGGCAGGGCTACCCACAAGGAGGGGCCCGGTTGCGGACGCCCGAGGGGCGGGGGTCGCGAGGCCAGCTAGGAGCTCGGGGGAGGTGCGGCCTGGGGGTGACAAGGGTAGAGGAGAGGCAGGGGCAGGAGGAGGGGCGCGGGGAGGGTGGGGCGCCGGGCAGCCCCGATACTCACACCTCCAGGATGCGGTCCCCCTTGCGCACCCCGGCCCGATCGGCCGCCCCCCCGGGCAGCACGGCGCTCACATGCTGCAGCGGCGCGTAGAGCTCTCCATTGATGCTCCGCAGTTGCCCGCCCTCGCTCACTTGGCCCCGCACGTTGAAGCCGTAGCCGGACTCGGACTTGACGATGCGCACGACCCTCGGGCCGCCGCCTCCCCCGCCGCCGTTCCCGGCGCAGTGGAGCCCAGAACCCCCGCCGCCGCCGCCGCCGCCGCCACCTCCGTTCCTGTGAGGGGCTGAGGGGTGAATCCCTTCCCTGTCCTCGTCCGCCATCTTGCGAGCAGGCGAGCCGTACCCCCGCCCCCTACGCCTCCAAGGCCTCCCGGCGCGTGCTCGCCCTGCCCGGCAGCCGCACGACCCCCCGACGCGCGCGCTCGATCCGCCGGCCGCGGGACCGACTCGGCCACCGAGCTGTTGGCGCGGGGTGAAGGGGAGGCAGGGGGCGGGGGTAAAGCGGACGATCAGGCGCCCTGGGGCCTCCTGGGAGATGTAGTAGTTTATGGGCGGCGGGGGCAGGGAGCGGTCTGGGCCCGGGCCGAGCCGAGGTTATATGACGCAGTTCGGAAGCAACGCCTGCCGGGAGTTGTAGTTTATCTTTTATGCTGGGTTAAGAGTTTGATCTGTTGGGTGGGGAACGTCTAACCCAGCACCCAGCGTGGTAAAATGATTCAGCTCCTGTTGCAGACCAAGGTTCCCCCCCCCACTTTCATTTCATAACCTCTAAAAAACACTAATGTTAAAATAACGTTTATGATTCAACACAATCTTAAATTATATCAACTCATTTATTTACACAGTAACTGATATGTTGACCAGGGCCCAACACCTGTGAGACAACCGGATCACGATTAGCTTCCCTATTTTACCTTATTAGGAAACAACCTTAGAGTGCTCAGAGTCATCCAGCTACTAAGTATCAGGAACTAAGGCCAGTTATTGTGCAACTTTCTTGCCCTGTATTGCAACTACAGTCATGTGCCACATAAGAACATTTTGGTCTACAACGGACTGCAAACAGAGGGAGGCCCCATAAGATGATAATGGAGCTGGAAAATGTCTGTCACCTAATGACACGGTAGCCACCATAAGGTCATAACGCAACTCATTACTTACAGGTGTAGGATGACGCTGGTGTTAACAAACCTACTGCACTGCCGGTCATGTGAAAGTATAGCACATACCATTATGTACAGTACATAATACTTGATAATGGTAAGAACTATGTTACTAGTTTATGAATTCACTATACTTTTTATGACTATTTTAGAGTGTACTCCTTCGACTTAATGTTTTTTTTTTGTTTTTTTTTTTTTTTTGAGGTGGGGTTTCCCTTTTTTTACCAAGGTTGGAGTGCAATGGCGCGATCTCGGCTCACCGCAACCTCCGCCTCCTGGGTTCAGGCAATTCTCCTGCCTCAACCTCCTCAGTAGCTGGGATTACAGGCATGCGCCACCATGCCCAGCTAATGTTTTGTATTTTTTTTAGTAGAGACGGGGTTTCACCATGTTGACAAGGATGGTCTCGATCTCTTGACCTCGTGATCCACCCGCCTCGGCCTCCCAAAGTGCTGGGATTACAGGCTTGAGCCACCGCGCCCGGCCGACTTAATGTTTTTTAAGTTAACTGTAAAGCAGCCTCAGGCAGGTCCTTCAGAAGATATTCTAGGTATTCCAAGTATTGTGGGTTTTCTTCAGGTATTCCAAGTTTTGGGGGAGGGTGTTTGTTTGTTTTTGAGATAGAGTTTCGCTCTTATTTCACCCAGGCTGGAGTGCAATGGCACGATCTCGGCTCACTGCAACCTCCACCTCACAGGTTCAAGCGATTCTCCTGCCTCAGCCACCCAAGTAGCTGGGATTACAGGTGTGCGTCACCACACCTGGCTAATTTTTTCTTTTTTTGTATTTTTAGTAGAAACAGGGTTTCACCATGTTGGCCAGGCTGGTCTCAAACTCCTGACCTCAGGTGATCAGCCGCCTCAGCTTCCCAAAGTGCTGAGATTACAGGAGTGAGCCACTGCGCCTGGCTCCAAGTATTGTTATCATGAGATGATAGCTCTGTGCATGTTACTACCCATGAAGACCTTCCAGTGGGACAAGATGTGGAGGTGAAAGACAGTGCAATTGATCATCTACATCCGGTGTAGGCATAGGTTATGTGTGTGTTTAGGTTTTAGTTTTTAACAACAACAACAACAAAAAAAATTAAAATGTAAAATTTTAAATTGCCTTAAATAGAGAAAAGCTTATGGAATAAAGATATAAAGAAAGAAAATATTTTGTACATCTGTACAATGTGTTTGTGTTTTAAGCTAAGTGTTATTACAGAAGAGCCACCCCAGATGTTTGAAGGCTGGGTATAGTGGCTGATACCTGTAATCCCAGCACTTTGGGAGACCAAGGTGGGAGGATTCCCTGAGCCCAGGAGCTTAAGACTAAACTGGGCAACATAGTGAGACCCCATATCAACAAAAAATAAGAAATTAGCCGGTGGCTAGGTGCAGTGGCTCACACCTGTAATCCCAGCACTTTGGGAGGCCAAGGTGGGTGGATCATCTGAGGTCAGGAGTTTGAGACCAGCCTGGCCAACATGGTAAAACCCTGTCTCTACTAAAAATACAAAAAAATTAGCCGGGCATGGTGGCGGGCACCGCTCAGCTACTTGGGAGGCTGAGGCAGGGGAATGGCTTGAACCTGGAAGGCAGAGGTTAGAATGAGCTAAGATTGCACTTTTGCACTCCAGCCTGGGTGAAAGAGTGAGACGCTGTCTCAAAAAAAAAAAAAAAAAAAAACTAGCTGCACATGATGGCACATGCCTGTAGTCCCAGCTATTTGGAAGGCTTAGGTGGGAGGATTACTCAAGCCCAGGAGGTCAAGGCTGCAGAGAGCTGAGATCATGCCACTGCACTCCAGCCTAAGCATCAGAGTGACATCCTGTCTCAAAAAAAAAAGAAGAAATCTCACAAAATATGGGATGAAGACTCAAAGTCATTATAATTAGAACATAAAAATTAATGTGACTTCATTTTACAACCAAACTAATGAAGAAGGATCTTGATTAGTTACACAATAAAGTTGAAATAAGAGTTTTGCTCCAAAATAATAGTGGCATTTGGGTTGAACATGAATCATTTGGTTTGAAATGAGCACTGGATGGGAAGGAGCTTATTTACTAAAGCACGGCATCAGAGAAAGGAAAAAGAAGGGAGCCTCCCCTAAAAGTTATTTTTTCATCAGTTTATTAGATAAACATATAGTGAATGCCTACTGTGTTCTATACTCTGTAATGGTGGCTTAGGATGCAGAGATAAATACAGTAATATCTACAAACTTCCTGAAGGGCAATAGGATGTGGTCAAACTTACAAATACACATATTCCTCGATCTGGAAGCAGTCCCACTTCCAGGAGTGCATTCTACTGTTACACTTGCACCTGTGTGAAGTGATGTTCTCATGAAGTTAAGTCATTGCAGCATTATTTGTATTCACAAAGGACTCAAAACAACCTAATGTTTATTAGTTAAATCATAATACATCCACAATGGAAAACTAAATCAATGTAAACAGAATCAGGAAGCACTTTATCCACTTACATGGAATGATCATATCCTCAATACTATATATGATTCAGTGAAAACAAGGTGCACTACAATCTATACAACATGATACCATTTGTATATAAAAGGGGAACCATGGGCCAGGTACAGTGGCTCACGCCTGTAATCCCAGCACTTTAGGAGGCTGAGGCAGGTGGATCACCTGAGGTCAGGCATTTGAGACCATGGCCAACATGGCGAAACCCCATCTCTACTAAAAATACAAAAATTAGCTGGGTGTGGTGGCATGCACCTGTAATCCCAGCTACTCAGGAGGCTGAGGCAGGAGAATCGCTTGAACCTGGGAGGCGGAGGTTGCAGTGAGCCGAGATCGTGCCACTGCACTCCAGCCTGGGTGACAAGAGTGAGATTCCGTCTCAGAAAATAGAATAAAAATAAAAGGGGAACCATATATATTTTTATATCTCTAGAAGAATTCACAAGAAATTGATAGCACTGATTGCTGCTGGGGAGGGAGACTGGATAGCTAAGGTGTCAGAGACAGAGGCGGGGTAGGAGAGAGACTTTTCACTTTATACCTTTATGTACCTTCTGAATTTTCAGTCAGATGAGTGTGTTGCCTATTCAAAAAATAAATTCAAAAATATTTAGAAAGAAGCTGGGCGCAGTGGCTCAAGCCTGTAATCCTAGCACTTTGGGAGGCCGAGGTGGGTGGATCACCTGAGATCAGGAGTTCAAGACCAGCCTGGCCATCATGGTGAAACCCCATCTTAAAAAAAAAAAAAAAAAAAATTTAGAAAGGATCAGACTGGAAGAAAAGGTGATCAGAGCATCAAAATAAGAAAAGAAAATAAGACACCATTACTGCTAGTGGGAATTCGCAATCTAGCAGGAGAGAAAACAAAAGAAAAAGACGTAGCAATACAGCGTGATGAGAGTCCTGCACAAGCTGCTAGGAGTGCACACAGGAGGGACTTCCACGCCTCCGGAGGGAGGAGTTAGGGAGGATGACGCGCGAAATGGGAGCACTGAGCTGAGTGATTCCAGATGAGAAGAGTTAGCAATTGCAGCGGAGAAGGATAGCGGTGGAAGGGCATTTCTGACAAAGGAAACAGCATATTCAAACACACAGAGATTTGAAAGAACACAGTACAGTGTGAGACCCTGCAGTTCGGCAGGACTGGAGCAGAGGAGACAGGATGTGGACAGGGGAGGCGGGCAAGAGTCAGATCCAGGAGGGCTGAAAATATCGAATATCATGCCCAGGAGTTTGAATTTCATTCCTTAGTATTGAGGGGCCTCTGAATGCTTTTAAGCAGAGCATGGGCATTCACAAATCTGTGCTTCAAAAAGTTCATGCTGCAGGACATGTGGAGAATGAATTCAGATAGATCAGTTAGGAAGCATTTGCAGTGATTCTGGTGTGAATTAATGAGATGCCACTAGGCCAGTAGTGGTGGGAATACAAGGAGGGGGATGCACAGGAGAAAAAGGACTTGGTGACCACTAGGATCTCGCGTGCAAAGTTAGGGGAGGAAGGAATGGCATAAGATTCCCCAAGACATGGCACAAGAAGGAAGAGGAAGAGGTTTGCAGGGGAGATTGCACTAGGATCTCCGGTGCAAATATAGGGAGAAAGGAATGACATGGTGGTGTGATTCCTGACATGGTGGTGTGATTCCCCAAGACAGGGCATAAAAAAAAGAGGAAGAGGTCTTCAGGAAAGATTAATTTAATTTGTTTAAATTTGTTTGATTTAAACAAGAAGATTAGTTTAATCTGGGGCCTGTTGGATTTGAGGGGCTTGTGGGAAAACCAAGAGAAATTGTCCAGCAACTGGCTAAACACATGAGCAGAGCCCTGGGGAAAGGAGTCTGGGACAGAACTTAGATTTGGGAGCCATC